CCCCTTCGCCCTGGCCACCAGCTCAGGGACTGAGTCCTACCAGGCCAAGACCAGTGCACACCGGGAGCTGTTCGGTGCCTTTCACCACGTGGTGCTGGGTGATGACCCCGAGGTCAAGGCCAGCAAGCCCGCCCCGGACATCTTCCTGGCCTGCGCCCGCAGGTTCTCCAGACATCTTCCTGGCCTGCACCTGCAGGTTCTCTCCTCATTCCCCCACCCCCATATCAACCAGGTAAACCGAGGCCTCGGGCCTTGGGTCCACTGCATGGACCACACACAGAGAGACACACAGACAGACAGACATGGACGGATACACAGATACACAGACCAGACAGACAGACAGACAGACACAGAGACACACAGATAGACGCAGAGACGGACACAGAGACACAGATAGACACATGGACAAACCAGACAGACATGCAGACAGACAGACAGACAGATAGATACACAGACCGACAGGCAGACAAACCAGATAGAGACACAGACACAGAGACAGACTCATAGACAGACAGACAGACCACAGAGACACGGACAGACAGACACTCTGATAGACAGACAGACACACTGACAGAGAGATAGACACACAGACACAGAGACCAGACAGACAGACACAAGAGACGGGACAGACACACAGATTCACAGACCTACCAGACAGACCACAGAGACACAGACAGACAGACACACTGATAGACACACAGACAGACAGATAGACACAGACAGACGCACAGATACACAGACCAGGCAGACAGACAGACAGACAGAGCACAGAGACACGGACAGACAGACACACACCGATAGACAGACAGAGAGATAGACATACATACGCAGACAGACACACAGACAGACAGACTACAGAGACACACAAATAGACATATAGACAGACAGACGGATACAGAGACAGACACACACAGATAGACAGACACAGAGACACATGGCCAGACACACACAGACACACAGACAGAGACAGACAGACAGACATAAGAGTCCAGACAGACAGATACACAGAACAGACCAGACAGACCGACCACAGAGACACAGACAGACAGATATAGGGACAGACAGACACACAGAGACAGACAGAGAGACACGGACAAACACACAATCACACAGACGGATGGACGGATGGAGAGACGGATGGACAGACGGCCCCAGGGGAACAGGGAGGGAGACTCCTTGGCACAGTGCTCACCTGGCCCACACCAGGCCCTGGGTGGGGGAGGCCTCGAAATCACACAGAGAACATGCCAGTAGGCACACCGTGGCTCAACGGTCATCTTCCCTCCTTCCTTCCCTCCTTCCCTCCTTCCTTCCCTACTTCCCTCCCTCCTTCCTTCCCTCCCTCCTTCCTTCTTTCCCTCCATCCTTCTTTCCTTCCCTCCCTCCTTCCTTCCTTCCCTCCCTCCTTCCTTCCCTCCTTCCTTCCCTCTCTCCTTCCTTCCCTCCTTCCTTCCCTCCTTCTTTCCCTCCTTCCCTCCCTCCTTCCTTCTTTCCCTTCATCCTTTTTCCTTCCCTCCCTCCTTCCTTGCTTCCCTCCATCCTTCTTTCTTTCCCTCCTTCCTTCCTTCCTTCCCTCCTTCCTTCTTGTTCCTTCCCTCCATCCTTCCTTTTCATCCTTCCTTCCTTCCCTCCTTCCTTCCTTCCCTCCTTCCCTCCTTCCTTCTTTCCTTCCTTCCTTCCCCCCTTCCTTCCCTCCAACACTGGGGACCCGGCCCACCCCCCGGCCGACCTCTCACTCCACGTGTCTCTCTCGCCCTCTGACCCCGCAGTGCCTGGTGCTGGAGGACACGCCCCACGGCATGGCGGTCGCCCGGGCAGCGGGGATGCAGGTGGTCATGGTGCCCAGCGTCCAGCTCGACCCCGAACTCAACGGCCGGGGCCACCCTGCTGCTGCCCTCCTTGGGTGACATACAACCCGAGCTCTTCGGCCTGCCCGCCTTCAACTGACCTGCGGACAGACAGACAGACAGACAGAAGGACACTGGACACAAGGCCAAGACCTGACCCATCCCAGGGCCTCCCTGACCTCTGGAAATAAAGGGAATGAACACAGGAAGTGCCTCACTGAGTCACGAGTGGATGGATGGATGGATGGGTGGGTGGATGGATGGATGGATGGTTGCTCGGATGGATGTTTTGCTCGTTCACTATTAACGCCCTTCCTGCTTATAACCTATTCCCCCTTTACTACCCTCCTTACACCTCCCTTTACAACTTTTTCCCCCCCCCCCTTTTCCCCCTCTATTTTCCCTTCTCTTACCCCCCATTTTCTTTTCCTTTCCTCCCCGCTCAAACTCCTTCTTTCAATTTCTTATTTCCCCCATCCCCCCCTTTACCTCCTCCACCCCTTTTCCTTTTTTCTC